CGTTCGCCATTTGTGTCAAGTTGAGGTGCCTGAAAACAACATATCCATTTCTTCTAGCTCAGTTTTCTTGACCTTTCAGTTCTTTCTTGGCATCTTCTGAATTGTTAAAAATAAAATCCTTATGAGGGCGCTGGCAAGTGGTTAGCAAAGCTCATTATGGCAGCTTTCTACATTCATCTATTAAAGCAATAGAAGTCAGGGTTGAAATGGGAGAAGATAATTGTGTACCTCAGGAAAGGGGACTGTCCAGTGACTGTCCTGGGAAGCCGGGTGAGCTAAGCTGTTTCCCTCCAAAGCAGAGGACCATGTGAGCAGGCCTCCCCAGCACATCGCTCTTACACTCCTGAACACAGTAACTCTGCAGTCAGGGAGCCCTCCTCCTAAAAATGTGTTAATCAAATCTTAAAAAATAGTCTGCAATTCATTATGAGTGGTATTCTGCTGCCCTGACCCTGGCTGGGAGCGTAGTGGCACTGTTCCTTGAAGTGTACAGTGCTGTTCAGCATGGAGAGAGTAGCAGAGTCTGAGCACTTGAAGTAGTTAAAATAACTGCAGTCTTCTGAAAATTCCAGTAATACTGAGATTATTATTATCTGTCATCGGGTGACAGAGCACTGGAACAGGCTGCCCAGAGAGGTTGTGGAGCCTCCTTCACTGGAGACATTCAAAACCCGCCTGGACGCCTTCCTGTGTGATGTACTCTAGGTGACCCTGCTCTGGCAGGGGGGTTGGACTGGATGATCTTTCGAGGTCCCTTCCAACCACTGTGATTCTATGATTCTATGATTATTTATTTTTTAATTAGTGCCATATGTTGAATGAACATTAATTCAAAATATTAGTCTGCAGTGTCTCTCGTTTGATGTCTTTCAGGTTTCTTGTATTTAAAGTCAGTATACATACAATTTCACAAGCCTATTGTCAGTCTTTTAAATGTATTGAAGATGGTTGTGAAATGACATCTATCTCTGTGGCTTTTGTGACGTTATCTTCTTCAAATGAATTGCATGCCACGTTTGCCTCATTTCTTCCAGCCCTGCTGTATTTCTGTTCTATGAAACCTCGCCATTAGCATTCTGAATGTCTTGATTCTGCTCTAATCCATCACTTTCCATTTCAGTTTTCTCAAGGTGAAATCTCTCTGCTAATTCAAAAAACTTTTTCTCTTCATTATGTATAAATGACTTTGCCTGAAGAATAAAAAACCTAATCGTAAGATAAAGTCTACCCACATTTTATGCCAGAATAATAAATGCAGGGGGAAAAGGGTGTAAGGAAGGAGGCACAACCGCTCCATTTTTTATTTCTGGTTGTGTTGCTTCTTGTTGGTTTGTGGGGCGGGGACAAACTCAAGGTTGTTTTCCAGGAAGGTGAGGGTCTAATGGGCTGAGAACTTTCTCTTTAAGTAATTGCTTCCTGGGATCTGGGCATTTTTTTAAAAACACCATCATCGTGCTTTTCATAACCATGTCTCAAAATGAACAGAGCAATGGGGAAAAATGTCCTGGATTTAAGTGGCTTGGAAGGATACCAGGGAATAATTCTTGCATAGGTAGCATTTTTCATATCCATGAAATATGTTTGCACAGTAAGCCAGACATTTTATGACATAAATTACACCAGTATCTTAGAATTACTCTGATGTCTTTCTTCCCATGTCATTAATTACTTCATGAATTACCTGCTTAATCAGCAAGACAGTAATAATGATTAATGCATCTGTTTATTCGTAGAACAACTTATTTGTTAATTAGGGAGTGGCACTGTTAATTGATGGGTGCCCTCTATGTTCTTGTCTTCAATTGAACCTTCTGTACAGTTTTCTATTAGTAGTCATAGAGAAAGCAGGACCAGTGGAGTTCAGGACTGTTGGATGCTGATGCTGCCTTACTGGCAATGAATGTGGCTGTGAATACCGAGGACCAGACTTTATTTTTAATGGTGTTCCATTTGATCCACCTCAGGAACGTTTTACATTTTGCTTAGTACGTGAATTTAAGATCCCAATTTCTAATAGCTACAAAAGCACAAACTAAAATTAAATCTCTGCTTTTAATGACCTCAGTGAGTATAGTATAGTCGCACCCTAATAACTTTGCTCTCCATCAGCAAAAGATAATCAAATAACTGATAGAAGTGAATTCATTACTGAATCTACAGTATAGATGACTAAGGCAGAATTCTCTTCAACTTTTTTTTTCCCCTCATTTTACTAATTACCGGTTTACTAGATGGGAATTTTCCTGAATGAGTGTCTCATAGGAGATGACCGTGGAAGGTGATGATAACCCTCAATGCAGAGTGGATTTGGGAGCAAGAGCCACATCTAAATGAGGAGAATAAGCAGGGAGGGATAAAGGGCAAATGGAAGTACTGGAAATGGATTTACTATTTTAGCATTGTACCAAGTGTTGTCCCTTACACTTAAATAGAGTTTCATTTATAGTATCAGCTGAATGGCTGTGATTTCACTAGTTTGGCAGCAGATTCTACCTGGTGGAGCCTTTCCAACCTCTGCTCTGCTCTTTTTTTTTTAAAATTCAGTGCAGATGTAGGCCACATTAATTTATTTTTCTGGCCTTCAGAAATATGTTCAGAAGTGGAAAAAAACTTAGAATTCCCAGTATTTCTTGATAATAGAAGCTTTACACAGAAATGTTCATATTTCATACTATTCATAAAATGCATTGAACAGATTTTATCTGCAAGTGCTCATGGGTATCAAGGACACAGATTCATACACTCTCTGTATATCAATACATTTTACAATTTAAACATGCGTTGACTGTTCTGATCAAACATAGAACTCTAGGTAATTATTAGCTTATTAAAGCCAAAGAAACACATTGAATTAATGCCTTCACTATTCTTTTTTTCATTGGTTATTTTCGAGATTAGTGTAGGTACTTTCTTTTGTAAAACCAGAGGAACGGACAGTGGTGCTTACTATAGGAGCAGCAACACAGAGAGAGGGATGTCATGCACTGGAGTCTTCCTAGGCTGCAGGGTAACTTCACCCAGTTTGCTGTCTCTAAAGCAGTACTCTGCTCTTCCTCCCAGTTTTAGCAGCTTGTATCAGCCCTCTGGTACTGATACTGATCCTTCAGCATCGGTATTTATGTGGCTGGACATATGCTGTTGGAAAATGAGCTGCATTAAAACTAGCTCAGGAGAAAAAAAAACAAAACAAAACAAAACAGCAAAAGCAGTTAGGTGGGAAGGAGTGGCTGGGACAAGGATTGCTCCAGCCTCTGTAATCATGTATGTGAACTTCACATGTTTATAGAGGAGTGTATATTTTCGATGGCAATATATTCTTGCTGTGAGACTTAACAAGTAACACTTTGGTGAAAACAAAGACAATGTATTAAAATACATCACTGATTTGCTGCATGATCCTAAGGAAGTCATTCAGCTATCACCTTTGTCAACTTCAGACTGCATGTTACTAGAAAGCTCTTACATTTGCTTTTTTCCCGGAAAATAATTGTTCACTTCCATGTCTCCTCTCCTGAAATCCTGAAGTTCTGTAGGACTCCAGATAGGTTTTGTGCAGTCTGCTAGTGTTAGCCCATTTTCACTGTAAAAGCACTGTAGCCTCACCCCATATATGGGTACAGTTAAGGCTTTGGATTGCCAAATTCCTATTGACAGATTTTGTGACCTACCTTTGGACACAGGCTGCAACAGTCAGTAAAAAAGCAATGAGAGGAATAACTGATAGGGGACGGTGGTGTCCCTCGTTATATATAGAAAGAGTTGGTCCAAAAATAGAGTAGTATTTGGGGGTGAATAACCTTAGACTATTTCAGGGCTATTGAAAGAGGTCTCTTTTTCTCTTCTCTTTTTAATCTCCCAGAGATGGAAGAATATTGCTGAATAAGGAATGTCTGATCCCATTTACTTCCTAGCTGTCAAGTCTGGAGTACTTGGAATCATTTTGTGTCCTTCAAGTGCATATAGTTTATTGCACAGGCTCATCAATTAGTTTGGTTTTCCATTGTGTAATTTTGTATGGTGGTTGTATATGGCAACAAAGCTGGATCCTCAGAGAATAATTGTTCTGTAACAGTTGTGAAAATCAAGTGTCTAATATATATAACTATTAATTTAAATGCTATTTCTTCCTACATGTGTGCAGTGAAAAAGTCTCTGAATAACGAGTATCGTTGCAGTATTTGATTCATGTCTGAAAGTAATTTTACAGAATTTTGACTTATCTTGTCTAAAGTGCCTCTTGAATGTTTTCTGACTCAACATACACAGTAGGGCATTTCGAAGTGGAGGTGTGTGAATCTGATATAACCCATAAAAATAGATGAATGGCATTACGCCATTTGGTTCAGGCACGTAATCACGAGCTGCAGTATTCCTTCAGTCTTCACATCTTTCCGTCTCGTAAACATGCTACCACGTGGCTGGATTCAGTAAACACCTCCCCAGTGCATCTCACTAACCATGACAGCGGCTAGGACTGCATTCCAGCAGAACTGTTTCCTGGGCTCTGTGCAGCACCAGGACTTTTTCCTTACCACAGCCTCTGGACTACTGGAGGGAGATATTCCTCTCACATACAGCTACTGGAAACTATGCTCCTTCAAGCTGCAGGTTTTGAGGAACCTGCAGATCACTTCCAGCTCAATCATTCTCGTTTGGTCCTCCCCTAAGCAATTGCTGGAGATGCAGCACTGACAATACAGTTCCTGAGACAATGCATGCACTGTCGTATTCAGAAAAAAAATTGCTAATCCCTTTAATAGCAAGGTGGAAATTTTGAAACTATTTATTCCATGCCATAGGACTCATGTTATCATTTAGCTTTCACTATGCCAAAAACAAAGCCACAAAGACTCCTCTACACATTCCCTCTCTGCTTTATTGTGTTTGAGATGGAAGGGTAATTGTGCTTGGCAAGGGTGACTGGATTACAGCTGCCTTTGACTTCTTGTTTTTTTTAGTGCCATCATGGTGGCTAAACAAGTGCAGAACACTGTGACACAATGGGTAAAATGGGATTTGATTTCTTTGAAATTAAAAAAAAAAAAAAAAAAATTATTTCCCTTTGAGGACAATTGTCACAGAACCAAATCAATTCTGTTTTATTTTTAAGACTTGGAAGGTTTTGACTCTGTAATACCAATTGCTGAGAAGCTTAATCATCCAACTACAACCAGACCAAAAGCCACTGGCAGGCGACCACCCTCCCAGTCTCTCACGTCTGTAAGTTAATTTTCCTTTTCTGTTAAAAATACTTTTTTTTCTTATATTTTGACCCCCGCCCCGCCATTTGCATGCCCTGTTGTTTTTACTACATTTACTCAGCCGTTCCTTCACATGTACAGTGAGGCAGAGAAGCACAGCTCAGGAAAATCTGTGTCAAAAGGCTGCCAATATTTTAAATACTGATGTTTAAAACATTCACTCTTATGTAGGATTTGTACCCTCTTATGTGGGTATTGCCAAATATTCCTTGCCAGCCACGACTGATGCCAGAAAAATCCTTTATAAAAATCTTTGGAATAAACAAGTTTCTGCTAACTATAAAGGATATTGAAAATGTTCCCCAAAGGAAGCATTTCCCTTGGTTTATCTAGGACATTTACCAGATTTTGAGGACAAACAGACCATTTCAGCCTTTGACAGCTGTCCTTGAGCCATCATGTGCTTCTTCCCATTAAGCTCGCAGTTGTAAATATAAGGGTAATCTAAGTTTCAATCTCTAATATGTATCTTTAGACAAGTTGGTCTCATAAACCACACTTTGGAAACCACTTTTTCGGGTGTGTTTTGGTTTGGTTTTTTCAGTTTCTTTATCTTTGGGGTTTGGGGTTTGCTAATTTCTGTACGGTTTTGCATTCTGGAATATGCGAATGAAAGCGACTACTGACGGTTACCCATGTTCATGTTGCTGAAGGCAAAGTGACGGGAAACAAAAGGGATTATTGTGAAATTAATATAACACAAAAAAAGAAAGCTTTCAAAATCAACTGTGTACATAAGTATAGAAACATACAGGACAAGCAAAAAAAGGTGTTTCTTCCCCTGTCAAATCTGGGAAAAGGAATAAGGAGTGGAGAGAACCTCCCCTGTTTGCACCTTTACAAAGAGGCCATGCACAAGGCAGCCCTGCAGTGCCAGCAGTTGTGCATGGGCAGCTCCAGGGGTCCTCTGAAGCCCACCAGAGTGAGACCTGCCCTGAGCAAAGCCATGGCAGAGCTGGCATCCCCACAGCACAGTGCTCAGCATCCTAGCCCAGTAAGGTACAGCTCTTCTTGTGGACAGGACGGTGCTTTCATCTTACGGTAGAATGCAATGCAAAGATGTAAATAAATGTTGAATTCAAGTCTTAACTAAATGTTACTACATGAATGCTTTGAAGGCATTCTAGCCTTGAAAATAAGATCTAAAAAAGGGGTAGTGGAGGGAGGAGGAGTCCTGATTTTAAATGTTGTTACTTTGAAAATGATTTTTGGAGAGTCATCACATAAATGCTTTTCTTCTTCCTTTGTTAAGTTCTAGTACAATGGATATAACTGCTTTTTTTTCCTCTCTTGTGGTGTGTGCATTTGGCTGCAGTCATCCCTTTCAAGCCCCGATTTCTTTGACTCACCAAGTCCTGAAGATGAGAAGGAGGAGCATGTTTCCATTACTCAAAAAGCTATTGACGTGTCAAAAAAATCAAGAACTGTTACAATATCACAAGTAAGTTAAATAGTATGCTTCTGCTTAACCTTACTGCATGGATCTTCATTTTTTAAAACAATATTCAAAATTTTAAAATTTTAAATTTTGAAATTTAATTTCTCACCTAGTAACTAGTCATTTAAAGAAGCTTAAAATGGTCAAGGTTTCTAAAGATTTTTCTGTGTTTGAAATGCAAGTCTGAAATGAATTGCATAGTTTAAATGTATCCATAACCACAGCATGAAAAAAATCCTTCTAGTGTAAATACATCTTACAGAATCCAGAGAAGCTAGGGAAATAAATTCTAGAAACAAGGAACCTTTTTTGCAACTGTAAATTGAGCTGACCTTAGAATGGTCTGTAAGCAGAAAAAATACAATGCTTTGTCCCACTCTAACCGTATATTAATTTAAATTTGCAAGTATAATCACTTTTTTGTACTGGTATAATTGTATTAATTTTACATGCTTGGGCCGTTCTTGCTATATATTGATAGAAAACTGTAGGGTAATCAAACATTACAGAAGGAGTGTGTAGATCAGGCTTTAGAGGTTGGAGCTATTTTTTAGTACATAAAGTGATGTTAAATAATACAAATATTATATTCTAATAGTATAACAAATGTGTTTGAAAGGTGAAGTCATGTTCTTCTGTGATTAAGTTATAAGGATAATGTTTTGCTATACAGCTCCCTCTTCTGGGAGCACTTGCATTAAGGCATTCTCAGGCTGACATTTGTAAATTATATGCAAGGATGTAGATGTTGTTCCTGTAAAATAAGGTGACTGTTATCAGAAAGTAGCTGCTTGAGGTTTTAATGCTGATAGCCAGGTAAGCTCTGGAATAACAACTCCAGCTGTGTCTTGCTCACTTGCTCCAGGTTTGAACTCAGCCTGACATCTCTTTTCAGTCCACAGAAACTTACACCTGCTGATGTAAGGATTGTTGTCCGTGAAAGGTCCACTTATAGGTACACATTACTCACACATGCAAATGTTACAGATAAAAAGTTACAAGAATATTATTAAGGCCATGAAGTCAAGCATGATTAATATTGCATATTTCTGTTAAGTTCCTGGAGAAATAAAGAGCCGTTGGCAGCTATGGGGACTCACAGAAACTTCAGTTAACAGAGGGCAGTACAGTACATTTACTTCCTGTCAATATGTTATCATTTTGAAGCCACAGGATTTTGTTTTTCTTCTTATATCATGACAACAAGCAAACTTAAGGAATATTTTGCTCTTTTCTTAACACTAAGGGTAACATGTAACACGTTTTAAAATTTTTAATAAACATTGCGTGTTGAAGATTTTTGGCCATGCAGTTTTGTGCTCTGCAGGAGACACATCCATGGATGTAGGTGTGTTCTCACAAACTTCTGAAAGAAACATTGAGCATACGTCCCTGATTCACCTCACTGCTAGATCTGAGAGCCTAGGAATGCTTGCTGCTGGCTGGTTGTAGCGAATGTGAAAAGTCTTGCTGGAGCTGTCTTAAGTTCTGCATCCCAATCAGACCCCCTGATGTACACGTACAAAGGTAGTGACTACTCGTCATGCTTTGACAGAAATTGTCCATGTTCAGCTATAGACTTTCAACCTTACTGAGGAGCAGCAAAATACTTAGTATTTGTTAGAGGTCTGATTTTCATGAAGCTTTCCCCAGACATTAAGTGTTATTCTTTTTGTTGCAGGTGTCTGATAATAAAACTTCCTTGCCTCCAAAGCCAGGAGGTTTGGGTAGTGGCAGTAATGTACAACCATCACTATCCCCTTCTCCATCGCCTGGATTTCACTCAATTGGTATGGGAACAACAGGCCACAGGTCAAACTCCCCATCCCTGTTTGGTACTGAAGGAAAGCCAAAGACTGAGCATTTGAGCCAAGGTCAGAGTGCCCTTGAGGAGCTGAGAACACAAATTAAGGAGCTAAGAACCATCATTGAAACCATGAAAGACCAACAAAAGTAAGTATTGCAAATCTCAGCTGTAGGTGGGATGCGTCTGTTCATACATGGTGGTGGCAGTTTCTTCTTGAGCTTGCTTTCACTTATGTTACTCTGCACAGTTTGTGTCCGTGAGTCGTTTTCATCTGACAGAACACGGTCAGGTGTGAGAAGCTTGGGAAGAAAGACTGGCACTAGCCATCTGGAACAGGGCTGGTTTTTTTTCCTCCTATGTATGACATAACCAGATGTTTATGGGATGTTGAAAAAAGTTAAGTTACAAGCTGTAAGCAATTAATAAGGTTCATAGGTTGTGTTATTTGCAAATAACTATGTAGGAATTAATGTGCATTAATCTTAGAACAGGATGTTTAAAGACCTTTGTGTTTATGACCCCAAATCTTACTATTTTAGTGTTTGGCATCTTCACGTTCTTTAAGCAGCTCATTTCTTAGGAAAAACTGGGCTGGTGCGTAGCTTTTGGTATTCCTGAGAATCTTTAATGTCTTGGAAGCTAAACTTTAACCTACTTTGTCAGTTGTGTGTAGCCCAGGCATGAAAAAGAAAAAGGAAAGCCGCATGACTGTGGTGGAACAGAGGTGTGGAGGGAGTTTGGGAGAAGATGGGGGGGGGCATGATTCAAGATAGATATAGCCAGCAAGTCCCACGGCTTCACCTCTTAGGCTAACACCTTTTAAGTGGCTGAAGTCTGTGAGAGCATGGGCAGGTTTTGTGTTACCAGTTCCTACTACCCACCAACAGCCAATCCAGCTACCGTTTGTGTGGTAGAAGAGGCGGCTGGGTGCTGACAGGGTGTTGATCCAGCTAGTCCAGAGCAAAGCCTGTGGGTGCAGGGCTGTTAGGAGGAAATGTATTGTCCATTAGCCCTGGGGGGGGGATGGGGGCTGGTACTGGCTTTTATCAGGAGTCTGTAGCATAGCATATACTATACAACAGTAGACTGAATTTAATTAGTTGTTGAAAGAAAACAGGTAACCAGGGAAGCAAGGAAAATATGCCTCCAAGAGATGATCTTTTGTATTTTACTAGTTTAACTGTTTCCATTCCAAGCATTTTTTGATTATTTTAACAGAAAAGAGATTAAACAGTTGCTGTCTGAGTTGGATGAAGAAAAGAAGATCCGTCTACGATTACAGGTACTTAAATTATTAAGTATTGCCAGGTTTGCTTTAGCCTCGGCTATGGGACATAAAACTCTGCTAAGACACTTCAGTTCCAGTGAATCAAGAACTACTAAGATTTCTGAAAGGGATATACCTGTTCCCTTCATGGTGTTGCCAGTTTGTGTCATATATATTGCAATACTGTGTTCAAGTAGACAAATTTAAAAAAAAAAAAAAAAAAGAAAAATTAAACACCATATAGAATTCAAACTGATATTTTTAAGTCTCAGTTTTAGTGGTTTGATTTTGTCACAAATCATGTCTTTTTACATTATTTTCTCTCTCAAAGCATTACATTTTGTAGTAGGCTTGTCTTAGTGTTGATATGCTTGGAATATTATTTCATATAGAAAGGTTTTTATGTCTGCTTTACAGACTGTACTCAGGTTGTCTTTACAAAACCATCCTAAACAATCTAAAAGAGTGTGCTCTGGTTAAGAGCCCGGGTACTGCTACCATAGTTTGTGTAGCACCTTAGCTCTAGATGTTGTCATGTGGGCTTAGTCATTTTCCAGGTAACATGCTGCTGCACTCGTGTGAGAGTCATTTGTTGCGGTCCTTGACTCTGCTGCTTAAAGATGGAGTGATGCTGAAATGGCTTTTCTGAGTTTTAGAGAGTGATTTAGGCAATGCCCTTAATAGCATGCTTTAACTTGGTCAGTTGTGAAGTGGTCAGGCAGTTGGACTAGATGGTTGTTACAGGTCCCTTCCAATGGAAGTAGTCCAGTCCAGTTCTATTCTATTCTATTCTATTCTATTCTATTCTATTCTATTCTATTCACATTATAAGTGGTTTAGTATTGATTATATTTTGTATTTTTATGGTGTAGGTCACCTGTACTTTTTCTTTGTACCGGGGATAAAATCGAATTGTAATTTCACTGGCTGTTTCCTGCTCAGTCAAGTGCTTGGGAACATGGCAAATGGTGGCAGAACTGGGGACCATCAATGTCTGTGCTCCAGGACTTTGTGCACACAACCACATAGGAGTACAGCTTCTAGTAACACAAAATTCATGTTCAGCTAAAATTGACATTTATTCAGACAACATCAATGAACATTTTTAATAGCAATTATTGATCTAGTGTAACAGGTTAGGCTATTCAGCAGTCTGGATGCTACCTCCAAGGATGGCTTCAAGTCTTTATATAGAGAATGGCTTTAAAACCATTAACGGTTTTAAAATTACAGTCTTACAACTGAATGTTTTTACTCCAGTTCAAACATTGCTTATACTGGTAAATGTTCAGATGCTAGCCAAGATGACATTATTAGCTTTACATGAAGATGAGAGTTCAACAAACAGAAGTTGCATTGGTTTAGAAGTGCTCTAATAGTAATAAAGTAGCACAGCTCTTAGTCCACGTGTTAAAGAAAAGCACTGTGGTGCTGCAGCGCAGCTGAGCACTGCGGGAGGGTTTGAATTCCTGCAGTACCCCTGCCCCTGCCTCAGGGGTTCCAGCATCTGTCAGAGGGCCCTGGTGTGTTCAGGTAGGGCTCGTGATGGTTTCAGCCACATCCTTCTACTGCACAGCTGTACAGCCATCAGAACCCTTAAAGTGGATGCAGGCTTTGATGGGTGTAGAAGGCAACCATCTCTACAGCGAGAACCATCCCTGCAGGAGTGAGGTGACAGGTTTTGCTGCTCAGCTGCCAGCGCTCATTGTCAGCAGTTCGGTTTATTTGTGCTCGGTGTAAGTGCAGCAGCTGCTGCATGGACACAGTGCTCATTCTGCAAGGAATTCCTGGCAGCGAGCTGCGTGGCTTCTAAAAGCTGTGATTTAAAGAGTTTGAAAGGTCTTGTGGTACATTCAATGACTATACTTGTCAAGCTTTGAGGGGAGGAAGGCAACAGTGGTCATCTTATGCATCTAAAAAGGTCACCTCAGTTTGTGAATTCTGTGCAAATCAGAGTGGTATATGCCCATATTTGACACCTGTGGACAAGGTGGAATGTGTTTTTTCAAGCAGCACCAACTGTGCTTCAATTTGTTAAAGAATCTACTTTCATCACAAATATATTTTTGTTTGTTTTCAGATGGAAGTTAATGACATAAAGAAAGCTCTTCAATCAAAGTGAATACTTGATAGGTGGAATGTTGCATTATTCTTCATGACTGAGACTCAAATTTATGCCCCAGCCAAAATAACTTTGTGCCAAATGATTTAAGAATTGCCTCAACATCCCTTTATTTGAAGGATTAGCACAACAGTTTTTGATAGCACAACGAATATGCCAACAATGAGGAAAAAATTTCCACCTGAAGCAGTGCTGTGCAGCACTAGTTGTGACTGAAGTTGATCTCTTGTGCTAAAGGCTCTCTACTTCAAGATCCTAGGTGAAATGAAAACTCAGGCAGTTTAGTCCATAGTGGTACTATTTTGATGATATTTTTCCATAAATAAAGTGTATTTCAGATTATCTGTTTACAAGCTTTATGATTTTGACTTTTGGTTTTTAATTGTCTTTTGTCACAGATTTTAAATTGTTTGTACTGCATATAGCCAGGAATGAATGTTAATGTTGGGGCTGGAGGGATTATTTTTGCTTCGAGATAGAACAGCCTACTTTTTGTTATGGTTTTAAGTTCTGTTAAATATGCAATTTTGTGTCCCCAAATTCCCTACAATTTAAACTTATGCTGTGCACAGTACAAGAAGGAAACAAACCGACAGAAATCTGGTCTTTGCAATGATTTGTGCCTTTCTTTGCCACACACTGACTGGAGCCGGTCGCAAGCCAGGTCTCCCTAATGTAGCTACCACCACTACTCCTGTCCCCAGTGTCCGGTGGAGGTCACCTTCTCAGTTTACAGCTGCTCAGTCAGTAGAGCCAGGTTTGTGCAAAGTGGCAGGACAAAAGGGCGCAGCTGAGAGCAGCTTTGTCTGGAGGAGCTGTGGCTTTCTAGTTTTCCTGCTTTTGATAGGCCTCTCCCTCAACTTGAATGTTCATCTCCGCTTGATTTTCATTAGATGATTTAAACACCCGCCTCTGTCCCCAATTTTGCACAGAGTGAGCAGAATATGCATTATTAAAGCAAAAATAAATAAAAATAATCTATAAAACATGAATAAAAAGTTGTATTATTTCATGCACATGGTCCTCTGACATGTGACATCGTTTCATTTGCTGTTTATGTAGTATTGTTTGCTACATTATGTCGTGCAGTTATAGACTGATACACTTTATAGTTCCTGGTTTTGCCTCAGGACTTCCTTTTCATCATTTTATTGAACCTGATGCTTACTTAATTTCTTCCAGTTTCTCTGTTTGCTTTCATCATTTCAAATGAAGGTCTCCTGTTTCTGTTTGTGGTTTTTGTGTGTTCTTTACTAGCTGCAGAGGATCTCATACCTTGATCAGCAATCTCTTGAGTTTATACAAAGCATGTAAATAATGGATATTTTGCATAGTGTGGAGTGAGTGGGTGAGTGACATTGGTGATGCTTCAGAGTGACAAAAAAACTCACACAAAGGATCTGTTTGTCACTTCATCAAAGGCTAGAGCTGGCTGCAGCCAGCATATCCTGTATCACAGCTAACCACCCGGCCTGCCAGGAGCTGGATGAGATGTAGCATTCAGCTGGCTGGTCACATTCACACATGGTTGGCAGAGCTCCCATAATCTTTTTTGTGTGCATAGATATATAAAATACACACTCCACCATACCCCAGTCTTGCTTTCTGTGTCTCAACTGGCAATACAGAACCTCACTGTTGGGATGATTTCCTCTACCATAGCATCTGCTTCTATTGTAACAGTGGTGTCTGAAATTGAAAGATCAGATAGTGAAACTTGAGAATTTTTTTTTGAAGTCCCAATACATTGCTCAATGTATTCAAACAGAAGCACTAAGAAAATATTTTATCACTGAAATGCACTTATTTAACATTTCTATATAACTGCATTAAAATATTTTTGTACAAAGAATGTTAGTCCCACCATAGCTTTCCAGCAATAAAGATTTCTATATTACTTCCATGTTTTTTTGTGAAGTTAGTAGCAGAGTTAGGGGAACAGGAGGAAATGAGGAGTAAGGCATAAGAATTCTGTTTGGGGTTGCAGCCATACACTTGCAACACATATCCAGAAATTAACAGCTCTGGCTTCCTATTTACATCCCTGGAAAGAGAGAAACTATTGTATCTGTGGTAAATAAAGTATCAGTTCCTGAGTTGTACCCGTGAAACACAAGAGACATCTCAGAAATGTTCCATTTTTTGCAAATGAAAGTCTGAATTTGGCATGGAGTTTCCTTATATCAGATTACATTTTTTTTTTTTTTTATCCTGTTGAGAAGATAACTTGTCGTTTTATAAATCCAAGTTAGAAGTCCAATGGATCGTGCGTTGTAAAACAAGGTTAAAAAAGATCTTGTGGAAATGCTTTGTTTTCAAAATTTGTTATTCTGGGAGAGGAGAGTTTGTAGAAATACAAACTCTTCTTGCTGCATTTCATTATAATAATAGAAAGTATTGGATTTTCCCTTTTTAAACGCATGGATTTTCCGTTTTTACAGAGGATCAATTATGCATTCAACCTGTGGATATAAACTGCTGCTTTTAAAAATGTTTGGATTTATATTTAAAGAAAAACAAAATGCTGGTGAGCTATAAAGTGATTTTGATGTGAAAATGATTAAATATTGCTGTTTGAAGAGCTGTGTGAATTGACTTTTCATTAATATGCACACAGTGGTCTTGTGGCAGACTTCTGTTTACATGAAGTCAGTTGTGAAACATCAGGTTCATGCCTTTGGTTGATAAAATTAAAGTTCTTGATTTGAATAATTTTTAGGTTACTAAGCAAACAATTTTGTGTTCTCTTTCTGTTCTTTTTTCAGCTTTGAAAGGAGCAAGTATTTCTTAATGTGAGATCATAACACTTAAAAAAGTTCTACATGGAGAGAAGAAAGGAAATATTCAGAGTGTGTATTAAGTTCTGTTACTCAAATTTTGTTCTCTGTGTTTTTCTCGTTAACAATCTATTTGCAAATGAGGAAAAAAAAGAGTTAAATGAATCTGTTATTACGCTAAGAGGTCAAAAGCTTGAAACACAACTATATGCAGTAAATTTTTGTTTCTAGGCGTTGGATAGCCAGCTGCCCAGTAAATTTTGTGAGTTACTTTGTGTATGAAGTGCCCATAGGAATTCCGTGCTCTGCGACAGCCAGGACTGAAGTTGCACCTGTGCAAGCAAGGTGAGAGAACGTTGTAAAGCACCCTCAGACAATCAGAAGTTAGACGATCATTTTGCTTGTCTCCATGTGGAGCTGCCAGGAGCGAGCAGGCCCCGCTCGCCCACCCTGCTGCAGGGCAGCTGCCCTGGTTCAACAGCATCGCCAGCTCTGGGCAGCGCACCCCGCGCAGGGTGCCTGTGCTGCCACAAGAAGAGGTTTGCTGCTGCAGTGCTGGCTTGGCGAGCTCTGGGGTTCCTGGGTGCTCCTTGGCCATGCCACGTTGCAGTCAGAACCATGCTGACCGCTCTCACACTTTTAGCCTCAGTTTGGGGCTATTTGGTGGGCCTGCCTTGGGAGTGAGGGCAGGCTGTGGTCAGAGGTGCCGCCACTCGTGTGCCCCACAAATAGCCCAGTGCCGGAAGCCAAAGAGAGGTCGACTGGGGTGGGGGTGATGTGCAGCACACAGTGCAAGGCCAGGAAGAGGTGTCTCTGGTGTCTGCTTCTCCTCTGAACAAAACCCTGGGGCTGGAATCAGGACAGAGGCGCATTGATGAGGAAGGTGCGAAGGCTGGTTAGAGAGAAGGTGCCTTTCACACAGGAGGGGTGTGGTTCGAAAGGCCAGCAGGCATACTGCTTAAAAGTAGAAACAACCAACCACTCTGCAACTTCTGCACTCAGGAGGCTTTTTCACCATGGGAGGTAGCAGTGCTGCTGGGCAACTGTGGTTCCCATAGGCTTTGGCCAGGAAAGGGTCCTCCAAACATTAGCTTCTGTTCAGGGTTAAGAAGAGCCAGAGGAAGTGGAGCAGAAGCCCCTCCACTAAATATCAGGCACTTGTATCCATGGTTATTAATACCCTTCAGCCAGAAATTAAACTTCACTTGGCACCTTTGGCCTCAGCTGACTCTTGAGCTGGCCTAGAAACCAGCAGCTGGTTGCGTGCACCCCGGCCCATTCGCTCCCTGCTCCCTGCAGCTGCTTCCCTCCTCCTGCCGCAGCCTGCCTCCAGCCCTTCCCTGCCTGCGGAAAATTACCAGCGTCCTTAGGTCATCAGCCCTGAAGGTGTGAGGGGGTGCCAGCACTTCCCAGCTTGGAACAGAGCAGCTGAGGAAGCTAAGGTGCTTTTTAAATGTCTGCAGGAAACTGGTGCTATGTGAGCACTGCCTGGCCCTGGGCATGCCAGAGCTCTGGCCCACCATGCTCCACTTCCTACTTGGGTAACAAAGGTGATCAGACCCACTCGACACACTGTCATTTAGTGTTAGCTCTTTTAATTGAAGTGATTTCCCAGTGCCATACAGGCACAAATTTTTACAGGTAGCTGGTGTAAACCACTGGCAGCCTCAGGAACAGAAACTTTCCTTGTGCTGCTACAGTCAGGCTTGTCTCGAACCAGCAACACAGCTCTGAGTTTTCCCCTTTCAGTACTTGTAGTTCCACTATTAGACAGCATGGGGGTCTGGAGTGCAAACAGCTAAAATAACTAAATGGCTTAATGCTCTTGTGCATTTTTTTAAAAAATATGAAAAATCTAATTGTATTTTTAAATGTTAGTACTGTAGGATGAAAACTTAAGATGTCAGTTAATTTTGTTGAAACTGTTACCCTACAAACTGGAGTGCTTAGTGTGTTTTAGCAAGTTAATTAACTGTAATTCTAGACAAATCTCTGGGACCATGAGATTACTTACTTTGACATATTGTAAAGGTTGCAATAGGAAGCAGGGCCTACCAATCTTTCTCAGTCGCCCCTTCGAGCCTTCATATCTTCCTCTTTCTATGCAGGAAAAGCAACTGAAGAATGTAGGTGATGACAGTCACAGGAAAACATAATTGGCTTTTGTGAGTGTGATCTTAAAAGCTGTAATAGACTGTTTCTCTTGGAGGAGAAAACTTGAAAATTAGGATGACAAAACAAATTAGATAAGAATGACCAGGCTTCACAAGCAATTTTGAATATCTGAACATTAAAAAGAGTATCTGTCTTCAAAACTTTCTCTGGTAAAATCCCTTCACTTCGCTGTACCCAGACCTCTTTATTTTCATTTACTGTGGGAGAACAATTTCCTCAATATGGCAAGCTCTTCCCTGCATGTGTTATCCCAGCTAGTCAACAGCAAATGTGCTTCCACCAAGCGACCCATTGAGCTGCTCTTCACCTCCTTGGATAACAGCAAGAAAGAGCCTGGGATTTTGTGAGAGCATTTTTGGGGCTTTTCTTAAAGGCAAGGAAAATTAAGCTGGGCAGCTGCCTATGCTACAGGATGACCCATCACCTGGGTTTACCCCCTTCTGGGGATGTCTTTGTTGTGAAGGGCACAACAAATGCAGGAGACAGCACAGTTCACACAATCTATGCACCATGGTCTTTCTCTTAGCACAAAGCATCAAAAAGCAGAACAAAAGCTAAGGAAGAGTAAGTAGAAAAGTAGATGCACCTGCATGGAAATTGCTGCTGCTAGATAATTCAGCTACTCTAGATTCAAAGAGCCAAATTTACTGAGCCCTGCTGGGAG